TCTGTTGAGATGTTCAATTTCGGTTTGTGTCAGTTTAGGTAGATTGTGTGTTTCTAGATATTACGACAATAAATTTTTAGACAATAAATTTATTTGTTTAAACCATCCGCTTGTGATATTTGTATTATAGTGGTTGCTACATGCTGTTGAGTCAGATTTGACACATAGCAGACTCTCCAATGGGTTTTCACAGGCAGTAAATTACATGGGAGGAGATTGACCATCTTTCTGCAGTATGGCAGCCAGTGGGTTGAAACCTGCTGCTTTTGGGTTGGCCTTACCACTTGGCCACAGAGCTCAGCTGGCATAAACTCACAGATTTTAAGTAGTCATACAACCCAATTTCAAATGTCACAAAAAATATAAATTATGATTGACAATAGCATACACACAAACATACTTGTGCAAGCCAACACACTCTTTCACTCTGTTCTATGGGAATCAGACCCTGGAATCAATATTGACTATTCTTGAACCGAACAAGTTCATCTCAAATTCCAACAAAGCAGCATTACTAACCAAATAGAAAAATCATCAAAATACGACCAAACTGTCATATACAATCATTATAAAGAAATTTGGCATAATCTAACAAAGGACATTTTTAAAACGACCACGCTGTTGCCTCACAGAACAAGAACAATCTAAAAACGTAAGGAACATATTACTTAGCAAGGTTAAAATGAGTAAAGATGTTTTCAGAGTCTTTAAAATCATTAACAAAGCAGATAGAGTAGACAGAACAATCCAAAGCTTTGAATACTTTGGTGAATGGATACCCAACAAAGAGGTAGCTTCTGATACTCAATAAATTTAGCACAAGTAATGTGTACACACATTATGTGTAATGTGTACACACAGAATGAACTTAGCTTGGAATGAATCACACCTGAGGAACTTCCCCTGCTCAGAGATGTCCTTCCCTCTGAAAGCACTCTGAGAAGTAGGACCTCCTGGCCATACCTATCCTGCTTGTCCCCTGGAGCTTATCACAAAGGCATTTGATTGTGTGGATCACAACAAATTATGGCTAATCTTGAGAAGAATGAGAATCCCAGAACACTTAATTGTGTTCATGCAAAACCTATACTTGTACCAGGAAGCAATTGTCAAAACAGAGCAAGGAAACACAGCATGGTTTCCGTCAGGAATGCATCCCATGTATACATTCATGTATTTTCAATCTGTATGTAGAACAGGTCATCTAAGGCTGGACTTTATAAGGAGGAAGGTGACATCAGATTGTAGGAAGATTGAGCTTACATTATACAGATGATACAATCTTACTTGCTGAAACCAAGGAGGGCCTGAGGAGTTTTCTGCAGAAGGTCAAGGACTGCAATCTTCTATATGGGCTCAAGTTCAACACACACACACACACACACACAAAGATGCTCACCACTGGGCCAATTGGCAGCATCATGGTAGGTGGAATAGAGATTGAGATTGTCAACAATTTCAGCTTTCTTGGTTCCACAATCAACATTCTTGGCACCAACAGTCAGGAAATTAAAAGACATATTGCATGGGGAAAATCTGCTGTCAGAAACCTCTCCAGAGCACTAAAGAGCAATGATGTCAGGCTAGAGACTAAAGTGTGTCTGGTACAGTCCATGGTGTTTGCAATTATTTGTTATACATCAGAAAGCTGGATAATGACTAAGGATAATAGGAAAAGAATTGATGCCTTTGATTAGTGGGGTGCTGGAAAAGAATACTGACTATACCATGGACTGTCAAGAAAACAAACTTGTCTGTACTGGAGAGGGTGAAACCAAGTTGCTCTTTGGAGGCAAATATATTGAAGCTCTGTCTCACATACTTAGGGTATGTTGTGAGGAGGGACCAGTCCTTGGAGAAAGACATCATAGTTGGAAGGGTAAAGGGACAGTGCAAATGAAGAAGCCTCTAGATGAGATGGATTGATTCAATCACTAGGGTAATGAGGGTAGGTGTGTTGGTGACAATGACATAGGCTCAGAATAGGGCAGGGTTTAGAGTTAGTGTCCATAGGGTCACCATGATCCGCAAACGACTCAATGGCACATAACAACAACAACTTGACTTACTCTGGACTACTTACAGTGCTTCACCTCCTAGTCCCAGTAGTTGCCAACCTCTATTTTTTTTTTTATTTACCTGTTGTATATGCATATATATGTGAAAGCAGGAGTTGCATCCACTTCCTAAACTACATGCCTTTGGAAACTCTATGAACTTTGAGAAACGGCAATAGTTATAGAAAGGCTTCAGTTCTTTTCTTCATAGGGTCACTATGAGTCATGCTTGACTTGACAGCAATCAACAACAACAAATTATATATATATACTGGTTTATGTACAAAATTCTAATACATTGTTTTTCACACCGGATCTTTCCCATTTCCTTCACTCTCCTCCAACCATCAAATTATATGACCCTATGATTAACCCCTTTTCCAGCCCATCTTCACCCCTCTGCTTTCACCCTTCCTCCCCCTCTTGAATCTTCACACTCATTCTACAATAATGGTTTTATATATAGTATTTGTACTTATGGGTCTGAGTTAGTTTGCTCAGCATAATGCTCTCCAGTGCCTCCCAAGTTAGGCAATAATTTGCAAAATCATTGTTCCTGCGTGCTGTATAGTATTCCATTGTATGAATGTACCATAATTTCTCAATCCATTCATTTGTGGTTGGACTTCTGGGCTTTTTCCATGCTCTTGCAATGGTGAGTAATGCTGCTATGAACATTGGTGTACAAATCTCAGTTTGTGCCTCAGTCCTCATTTTCTCAGGAGGGTATATTTCAAGCAGTGGAATAGCTGAGCCATATGGAATTTCTATGTTCAGCTTTTTGAGGAAGCAAAACTGACTTCCACCAACAATGCTTAAGAGTTCCTTTCTCACCACATTCTCTCCAACATGTATTATTTGCTGTGCTGTTAAACTTGGCCACTGCTACTGCCAATCTAATCTTTAATTGAGATTTGTTTTTAGATGGACCTGGAAAAAGAAGATGGGGCCCTCCCTGGAGATGTAAAGCTCACTAGTAATTTTGTTTGAAAATTGAAAGAAGTTGAAAAGTATGTCCAGGTAAAGTGAGAAAACATGAACAAGGCCAGTTGTCTCCAAAACATTTGCCCTTCCCAGGTTTGATCATTAATCATGGAATCTTCCTTTTGTCCTAAGAATCCTTCTGTGTCCCACCATAATATCCACATGAAACTTGGCTAAGGAACACATTTACAAAATACATTTCCCAAACCTTTGCACAGACTGCCCTGTAGGTCACGTTGTCAGCAGTTCACATCCTTCCCTTTCCTACTGCCTGTGGAGACCTACACTGTGAACCAAGGAAGAGGAAATGTTTCAGCAAGAATGATTTTCAAACTAAAATGTTTGGCAGTTCTCAAGCTAAAAGAACTGAAGGACGAATTAAAGCCTCGAGTTGCTCTAATGAAAGACTCTATAGGCAAAATATTGAATGCTTCAGGATGCATCCAAAGAAGATGGGATGTATAAGCAGTCACTGTACTGAAAAGATAATGAGCCATTTCAGGGAGTAGAATCAAGAAACAAACAGAAGGAAGGAAGCAGTTCAAGCTGTACTGAAGGCACTGATTAAAAATATAAATCTCTGAGAATTGATGGGATGTCAATTGATATGTTTTGTTGTCTATACAAAGGCATTTAAATGTCTGTATAAGAACAAATTATGGCTAACGCTGAGAAGAATGTGAACCCCAGAACACTAAGTTGTGTTCATATAAAACCTGTCATTCACCAGGAAGTAGCTGTCAAAATATGACAAGGTACCACCACATTGTTTAAAATCAGGAAATGTATGTATTCACGTTGTATCTTTTCTCCAGACCTAGTCAATCCCTATGCTGAGAAATCTTTTGAGAAGCTAGACTTTATGCAGAAGAGTGTAGCATCAGAACTGGAGGAAGATTCATCGACAATCTGTACTATGCAGAAGACACTGATCCCTTTAACCCAGTGAAGGGGAATGTCTCACCCTCTCTGCCACTCAGTCTTCTGTTCTGTGGTTTCTTTTGTTCTAAATCACCATTTAACTGTGAGTATGTGTGTAGGGCCAGGGACTGGAATTGGTGGTGTTGTTATGTGCGGTCAAGTCACTTGCAACTCATAGTAACCCTATGTACAACAGCCCTAAACTCTGCTCTATCCTGTACCAACCCTATTGTCTCTGACACACCTACCCCCATTACCCTAGTCACTGAATCAGTCCATCTCATTGAGGGGTTTCCTCTCTTGCACTGTCCCTCTATCCTCCCAAGAATTATATCCCTCTCCAAGGACGGGTCCCTCCTTGAAACATGTCCAAAGTATGTTAGACAAAGCTTCAGAATCTTTGCCTTCAAAGAGCAGCCTAGTTTTACCCTTTCTAGGATGAACCTGTTTGTTCTCCTACCAGTCCATGGTATACTCAATACTCTTCTCCAGTATCACAGCTCAAAGTCATCAATTCTCCTTCTATTATCCCTAATCATTGTTCAAAACTGTTAAAGAGAGAGAAAGAATTGTTACGAGAGATTCTTAACACTGCTGTCTTCCAAGATTTAATAACTAAGAAGACCCTTACTGAGAGGACAGAGTTTATTTTCTAAACTAAATAGAACTTTAAAGAATGAAATGGGTACCTTTCTAATTATATCATGAAAAGAGCTACATATTAGGAATGCCCTGTTATTGTTGTTGCTGTTGTTGTTATGTGCTGTCAAGTCACCTGTGACTCATAGGAACCCTGTGTACAAGAGCTCTGAACCCTGCCCTATATGGAGTCAGTCTTAACCATTTCCAACACACCTTCTATCCCCTACTTCCCCACTTATGTGTCAATCCATCTCATCCAAGGTCTTCCTCTCTTGCGCTATCCCTCCACCCTTCCAAGCATGATGTCCTTCTCCAAGGACTGGTCCCTCCCTCCTCTCAACACGCCCAAAGTTATGAGACGGAGCTTCAAAATCCTTGCCTCCCAGGAGTAACTTGGTTTCATCCTCTCTAGAACAGATCTGTTTTTTTCTCTTGGTAGTTCACGGTATGTTCAGTCCTGGGCAAACGAATATGTATCATCCCCTTGAAGCTTACTAAGAAACAAGAGACAATTTCTAACAGTGACAACAAATGGGCAGAATAGACCATATGTATCTCTTTATGCATCCAGTATTTCAACATTGCAGTGGTTGAGGTATTTTATTTTGTTTTTCATTTCTTTTTATTTGAGTGAAGATTTACAAAGCAGAGTTGGTTTTTCTTTCAACTATTCATACATACTTTGGGTTTTTACATTAGTGACAATATTACAGTGTGATCCTTCATACTTCCGCCTGTGAGTCTCATTACCATTAAAACTTCTTTCCTCCTTCCGCCGTGGCAGCCATAGACAGTGCAGCAGCCATCGCTGTGCGTTACCCTGTGGCCGTGGGCCTCAACAAGGGACACAAAGTCACCAAGAACGTGAGCAAACCGAGGCCCAGCAGCCGCCACCGCAGGCGCCTCACCAAGCACACCAAGTTTGTACGGGACATGACCCGGCAGGTGAGTGGCTTCACGCCCTACAAGCATCATCAGGCCATGGAGCTGCTCAAGGTCTCCAAGGACAAGCGCCCTCAAGTTCATCAAGAAAATGGTGGTGCTAAGAGGAAGGGAGAACTCAGCAATGTGGTGGCCACTACGAGGAAGGCAGCTACCAAGAAGGACTGAGTGTGCCCCGATATTCCCCAAAGCCCTCATCCATCTGATGTAATAAAGTGTAATAAAAAAATTAAAAAACACACACAAACAAAAAACACCTTCTATCCTACTTCTCCCTGCCTCTGATCTTCAAGCCTGAGCCCATGCTGCCCTTGTGACGTCATGTGGCGGATTCTTCCAAGGAGTGAGTGCTTCCCTGTGCCACCGCGTGGATCTATCTAGTGTCTGCCTGCAAAATGAACCACTGGGGTGAGTTTAGTTACAAGTTCAAGGGTGCAGCTGGTTGGTTTTGAAAAGGAATGACTCTTGCTTCAATTATAGCACCCTAGTAAATTGTTTTTGTTTAATATTTCTAGTTGCTGCAAAGAAACTTCTTAAGAACAACAGCAAGAACAAAGTGTTGGGAAAGACCCAAGGATAACTTACTCCAGCGGCCAGGAGTTTGTCAGCAGACAGCCTTCGGCCCCTCCAGGGACAGCTTTGGCTGCAAAATCACCGTCCTTCTGGCGCTTGCTGGACTGTTGAGGACTGTGCCCTCTCCTGATGCTGGAAGCTGTGCCTTCAAATACCAGGAGGGTTACTCATGGTGCTTACATTTCAGCAGACTCTCCCTCTTTCCTCCATCTCAAGAGTTCACCTCCAGAAAACCTAACCTCCAACAGAAAATGCCAGTGTTTTGCTTTGTCCAAACATTTGAACAATCCAGGTGATAAAGATAACTTCCAAAAAGTTCTTCTAAGTCTAAAGTAACAAGAAAAGTATCATTAATGTTTCATTCACAATGATGTTAGCAGCCAACATATTCCTTTTAGATAGGAAGAGCTAGAATTTTTCTAGCTATATGTAAACTTAGGCTGTATTTGAGCCTTTGCATTATTGACATATATACACATTTCCAATTTCTAAGACTCAGTGTTTTATCAATTACAAGGAAATATTGGTAGTCATATTTGAAACCATGTTTGAAATCAAGAAAGCAGCCTTCTGTTATTTGTTGGGGAATATGCAATCCATTTTGTGTTGATTTACATCACTGAATATTTGACAGGAAATGCATCATAGTAAAATAACAAGAACTGCTGAAGGCAGCACAGAGACAGGGCAGTCCACTGGCAAGAGCTTGCAATTTAGGATAGAAGGCCCAGAGGTCACATCTCTATTCATCCTTGTTGGGAATTTAAAAGGCAGTATGTATGATAAATTCTTCTGTTGTTGTTGACTACTGTTCAGTCTACTGTCATTCAGTCGGACCCTATTCATGAACACTCCAAGTTCAAGTGGATGACAGTCTGACTGTATGCTGACTGGACCATTGTGCTCCACAATGCTTTCAGTGACTACTCTAAAGCATATGTCCATGCCTTTCTTCCTAGTCCATCTTGGTCTGGAAAATCTGCTGAAACATGATGAGCATCATAGCAGCATGTCTTCTTTGATAGATGCATGGGGTGTCTATAACGAGGCTTGGTCAGCTATTAAGCGTAGGTTTCCTTCTTGGAAGGGAAAAAAATTCTACCACTGAATCAGCAATAACCTCTGGCAAATTCTACAAAATCATCAATTGTTATACTTTCTAATTTATATTCAGGTAAATATATGTTTCTGGATGATAGAATTTACTAAGAAGGAAATGTCAGATTTGGAATATACCTTTAATATTTGAGATTTATGTAATGGAAGAAAATCATAGACTTTCCCATCACAATATGTCTTTTAATTTCCTGGCTGCTGGTGCCAAGAGTGTTAACTGTGGAGGCAAGCAAACTAAATTAATGTACACATTCTTAATGTGGTAAAAGAAAACCTAGGGTTCCTTCATCCCCTTTACTGGCTTTAGGTCAATCATTGTGAAGAAGTAAGATATAAGCCATGCTCAGTCAAAATGGAGATAAAATAACTCAAGCCCATGCCAACCTGTAAATAAAGGTGACAATAGTGATGAGAATTTCTACTTGACAAAGTCCATTTTGTACTTACTCTGTGGCCCTTCCACACCCGGCTCTATCTCTGGTAATACCAGTCTTTCTGCTGTCCTACCTCTACTCCATAATCACTTGGCCTTCCACTGCTTCTCTCTCCTTCCCATCTTTTGCATCTCTTCAGAGCATCTAAAGACTCATATCCTGATTTATTTACTCCCCTGTGGATTAGATTTTCTTTGGCTGACTGCAGGATATATCACCTCCCTGGTGTAACTTCCGAGTCACTGATCAGAAACTAAAACCCAGCTTCCAAGCAGGAAGTCCAAAAGGCTGACCGGGAACACAAAGGGCATTGTGAGATCTTGTTAAAGAATGATTAGGAAGAGGACAAAATTCATCCCAAACAAGTATCGAAAGGTGTCTGTATTTCCAGTGAGAGAATGCTGATGAAAAGGAGAAATGCCAGCAGCAGCCTTGGCCCTGTCCTCGTTTTACCTGGGATCCATCCTATCTGCAGATTCTGTAAGCCAAATTGATGCTCATTGCCAGATGAAACCCTCCGATGTTTCTTCTCAAACAAGAATATTCCTTAAACAATGAAAATGTAGTAATAAAATAGTGTCTTAAAGAAGGAAGCTGGACATACTTAAAATGAGAAAAATTAGATTAAAATGGCAAAATATCATAGAATCAGAGAAAATTAGTCCAAAGTCATTGAATTCATCCACCTTTTTTGGTGAAAGAGGAGTCTCTGTGTCTCAATGGCTGAAGAGCTCTCTTGTTAATCAATAATTTGAACTCACTAGCTGTTCTTGCAGAAGTTTATGGCAATCTACTTACATAGGGTTTTGCAACCTTAGAAATCTTACAAAGTAGTTCTACTCTGTTCTGTAGGGTTGCCATGAGTCAGAATCAACCAACAACAGCCTTGGGATTGTTTTCTGTACAGGAAGTTCCTATGTAACAGGGTTTGAAATTGAAAAATGGATAGGGATCAGACAGGAATAAAAGAAGGAAAGGTGTCAAGAATGTAAGGATTGGCAAAATAGGAAACATGTCTTTTGTATAAAGCTCTGATTATTGTTAAGCTCAGTATAGCTGGGCCTTGTTATTATGTGCCATCGAGTTGCTTGCGACTCATAGCGACCCTATGTACAACAGCCGTAAACTCTGCTCTGTCCTGTGCCAATCACACTATCTCCAACACTCCCAACCCAATTACCCCAGTCACTGAATCAATCCACCTCATAGAGGGCCTTCCCCTCCTGTGCTGTCCCTCCACCCTGCCAAGCATGATGTCCTTCTCTAAGGACCGGTCTCTCCTTACAACATGTTCCAAGTATTTTAGACGGAGCCTCACAATCCTTGCCTCCAAGGAGCCACCCAGATTAACCCTCTCCAGGATGAATCTGTTTGTTTTCTTGGCAGTACGTGGTACCCTCAATACTCTTCTCCAGCACCACAGCTCAAAGGCATCAATTCTCCTTCTATCCTCCTTAGTCATTTTCCAACTCTCTGATGCTTAAGAAGTGATAGTAAAGACCAAGGTCTGTATCAGACACACCTTAGTCTCTAGAGAGACACCATTGCTCTTCAGGACTTTTAAGAGGTCCCTAACAGCAGACTTTCCAATGGCAATACATCTTTATTTTGGGTTTTTTGTTTATTTATTTGTCTGTTTGCAAGAGAAACTAGCAATCCAGGCCTCTTGGTAACTTTTTCCCTTCTTTTTAAAGGTTCACTCCTTATTTAAATGTTTTTATGTGTGTACCATCAAATTAGATCTGACTGGTACAGGAAGCAATTGTTCCTCCTTCTTCAGCAGAGCATCTGGTGGATTTGAACCACGCACCTCTGGGATTGCAGTGCAGTTTTCTGCCACTAGGCCACCAGAGCTTGCCTATTTAAATGTTTTAAAACATTGCCTGAAGCAAAAGAAAGCATGAAAGTGGGCCAGAGCATCCTCATAGACCATGACGGTGACTTCAGCTCTATGATAAACCAAGCTGATGCCCCTAAACCCATTATCAGCAGTTCTACTGAATGCCTAACACTAGACCAAAATCCATATTTGCATAATTTCCACTTTAGATTATATAACTCTATCATCTGGATCCACAGAAGAATACCTCTTCCCTTGTGTTTCTTTTTTGTTGTTCTTCCTTTATTTTTGTTCTTCCTGAAATGTATCCACTAACACAGTGTCTAGACTGTTATTACATTTTATCTCTTCTGATGAGTTCTGTCTTTTTGTTCTAGAAAGTTTTCGTCTTTTTCATTATTGTTAGTGTTTTTGTTAAGTGCAGTTGAGTCGAGGACGACTCATAGCAACCCTATGAATGAAAGACCTGAGCACTGGTCATAGAGTTTCTGGAGGCAAGCCATTTCATTATTATTATTACTACTGCTACTACTAAAGGCTTAATGCTTTTTTTTAAGTGTTTGTTTACTGCCCCTTCTCAAGTGTACGACAAGTAAATGTGAGTTGGAGTGCAATGTGTCTGGTGTGATCTTAGAAGAATAACAACTTCCCATTGTTGAAAAGACTTTGTCTAAAGCATCATCTGTTAGATGCTCTTGGGAGTCCAGAACCTCTCCAGCCACTTTATGGTAATTTTCTCATCTTGATTTTTCCCCCCCACAAACCCTATGTCTATAACCTAGAATGGGGTGAAAATGTTTTGCCATTGCGCTTAGCAGAACCACATTTTTTCTTGTTGTTGTTATGTGTCACTAGCCTGGAACCAACCCAAAGCTGACTGTCCACAGGGTTTTCAGAGGCCATAAATTGCATGGAAGGAGATTATGGTGTCACTGATGATGGCCTTTGGTTATAAGTGAAACTCCTTATCAACTAGATCACCAGAACTCTGACTGTGGTACTGATCTTGACTCAGGGGACAAACTTGGATTTGACTATGATCTTTTTTTTTTTTTTTTGTCTATTGTGATGCAGAGTCTTAACACTTTCTAACCTTTCAGGAGAGAGAGATAATGATGACACTGATTTTACTTAAGCCCTGCAGACTTTCAAACAACTTGATAAGGCTCACAGAAAAAAAAAAATGCTGAATGTTACCAAATTAG